GTTTTAGTGGGATACTGTATCTGAGATCCTCAGATCATTGTAGTTTCAGTTTTGCTACTTACGTCTTCTGTTCTGATGTACTTTAAAAGATCTCTCAGTGCCTACAGGTGATATACACAATAAAATGACACATAAAATAAACGTTTTGTAGTCATTTAAAATTTCAAATCAATAAAAAATATTTGATCAATTACTTGAAAAAAATGATTACATGAAATTAGGATCAGGAGTTCCCAGTTACAGGTCAATAATTAGAACCTCATAGAGTTACAGGGCTGGCAACCCCAGCACATTCAGCACAAGAGCTGTGTGTTTGAAGCAAAAAGAAGTCTCCAAAAGCTCCAAAATGTATTCCTAGGATCTACAGGTAACTTTGCAGCTGCTAGCGTCAAAGTGAAGCATCTACAATCAGAAAGAGATTGCACAAATTTGACATGAATGGAAGGTTTGCCAGAAAAAAAGCCTTTACCGTTCAAGAAGAACATTAAAACACAATTACACATACCGTCAAGACAGGCATTTTGAATCCAACACATATTTCAGCAATAAATTCTGTATTCTTCTCAAATATTGTTTGAAGATAATGTAAGGCCATCTCTTCAAAATTTGATCTGGAAATGAACCTTTCAGCAGGATAATGATTCTCAAATCCACCATGAATTGTTTATTAAGAAGAAATAGAGGGTTATGGAATCGCGTCATCAAAGCCCAGATTTGAATCCCATTGAAATGTTTCAGGCACATCTAAAACAGATAGTCTGTGCAAGAAAACCCTTTAAGATCTTCAGCTGAAAACCTTTTTCATTGAAGCGTGGTCCCAAATTTTTACTTTACTGATTTTCAATGGGCGCTGCAGGAGACTGCTGCCTCACTAGTTGCTCTGCAACACCAAGCGTTTTTTTTCCTTGTTTTACTTAGATATTTTTTCTACTTTTCTTTTTTTGTCTTTATGTATTCTCTGGATACTTGTAACTTTTAAGCACCCGCAGGAGCCAGGGTCCTCACTTTTTCTCAAGAGGAGCTACTGGCTCTAAAGCCGATGGCAAAGGCTGGAATACGACATCACATCCCGGCTGAGCTGAGAAGGCGTTAACGGGGCAGCAAGGCTGGCACTAGGCTGAAGGCTAGGCTAACAGACCGGAGGCATTTCAAACCATCAATCCCAACAGTAATTATGGGAAACGTAAACGCCTTGCAGAACAAGATGGACGAGCTGCAGACCCAACATCCAGAGGCATTCATCATCATCTCTGGGGACTTTAATCACGCCACACTGAACTCTGCCTTGCTTACTTTCCACCCCTTTGTGAACTGCCCCACCAGAAAAAAACAGANGTCAGAAAAAATGTTTATTAACGCATGTAATGGGTGACACCACTGGGTGTCACTCTTGCCCCAGGGCATTCGCCTATAAA